GAGAGCAATGTTTGAGAATGCCCCTCCAGGAGGAAGACCCTCCCCAGTCCGGCTTGTCCATGGCGAGACCAGAAAGAGGACCTCTTGCAAAGCAAAGCTAGCTCTGTGGGATCTGGCTGCCCAGGCTGGGGGTTAAGGCAGGCTCCTGGGCCCCCCTGACCTGGCCGAATAGTGCTCCTTCCTTTCTGGTGGAAGCTGAGGCCTGACTGGACGATGAGGAGAGCAGGTGGAGCTCTTGTCAGAGGACCTGGTCAGAGGACCTTGTCAGAGTACCTTGTCAGAAGACCTGGTCAGAGGACCTTGTGAGAGGACCTGGTCAGAAGACCTGGTCAGAAGACCTTGTAAGAGGACCTGGTCAGAGGACCTGGTCAGAAGATCTGGTCAGAAGACCTGGTCAGAGGACTTTGTCAGAGGACCTTGTCAGAGGACCTGGTCAGAAGATCTGGTCAGAAGACCTGGTCAGAGGACCTTGTAAGAGGACCTGGTCAGAGGACCTTGTCAGAGGACCTGGTCAGAAGACCTGGTCAGAAGATCTGGTCAGAAGACCTTGTCAGAGGACCTGGTCAGAGGACCTTGTCAGAGGACCTGGTCAGAAGATCTGGTCAGAAGACCTGGTCAGAGGACCTTGTAAGAGGACCTGGTCAGAGGACCTGGTCAGAGGACCTGGTAAGCTGCTTTTGCACAGTCTCCCTGAGAGCTGCCCTCTGTCTGGACACTGTGCTTTGACTGTTTTCAGCATTTCCACTTTTAAGACACAGAAAAAATTGTATCCTGGTGATGGGCCAGGAGAGTCAGCCCTCCACCCCTTGACAGGGTCAGTGCCGCCGCTTTGCGAAGTCTTCCCAGCACCCCTGGGTGCTGGCTGAACTTCAGTGGCTGTGCTTTGGGGTCCCACCCCTCAGTCCTGTGCCCAAGACATCTCCCTGCAGGTCCTGGGCTTGGGCTCTGGCAGAGGGAGCTGCTCCTTCAGGGGCTCTTGGGAGGAGGGGCTGGGGCTGTCAGCCCACTCTGGCCGGCCACGCTGTCCTCACCTACAGGGTTGCAGGCCCTGTTCGGGGCTGTGGCCTGACAGGGTGGCTGGGGCTGGGACTGGGGTCAAGTTGTGTCCAGGACATTTGAGGAGTTGTCCAGCAGAGTCACAGAGAAGCAGCCTGGGGGTCGGGAGACTCAGCTAGGGACACTTGGAGGTGCAGGGCAGAGGGCAGTGAAGGCCCAGGAGCTGTGACTGTCCTCGGGCTTTGTCTGGAGTCCTGCCACCCCCAGTCCCACGGCAGCCTGGCCCTCTCTGGATCCTGTGGGTTGGCTCCCACTTCTGGGCCTTTGCCCAGGGCCCACACACAGCCTTGCCCATTGTAGTGGGGAGACCCCATAAGCTCTGAGGCAGGAGCAAATGGCCTCAGCCTATTTCCATATACATACTGAAGAAGAAAGTAATCACAAACATAAACGAAGTAGTTATTAGTTATTCATAGGTGATCTTAGTTATTCATAGGTGACCTTAATTCCTTTACTAATGCCTATCAGGTCGGAAGTGTGAACCTGGGGTGACATTGTGAAATGAATGACACTAAGGCAAGCTGCTCTAAGTCCTCTGTCACGCCCGCATAAGGGCTGCTGGAGGGCACCTCGGCTGTGCGGCAGCGCCAGCGCCGGGAAAGTGCCCGCTGTTTAGCCATCTAGGGAAGGAGACGTCCAAGATGGCCGAGATGTCGCCTTCCTGGGGAAGTTGGGAGAAAACTCCACTTCTCCAGGCTCTTGTGGTGAGGCCTGACGCTGTCAGGAGGCCCACAGACATCTGGGGCTTAACTGTCCGTATGTGACACTGTGCTTCAGCGGTCACGTTCCATGTCCACTCTCATGTTCTGCTTCTGCACCTGGTTCTGTTCTGCTTCTGTTCCTTTTGTCTTAGAAAAGATAATCAGTAATCATCATATAAATCCTAATGTTTCAGTTCTTTCTTGATACGTATGGAAAAGGTGCTGATGCATTATGCTCCTTGCCTCACTTCGGGTGCCAGAAATTCCTGAGCCCCCACCTGAACGACAGGCTATGTACTTGACCCTATCACTGCTACACACTAACCACCCTGCCCCCAGTGTCTGACCACCAAGGCCATGCCCTATCTACCCCACCCCCAGATTTGCAACTCAATAAAAGTGAGAGTGTCCCGTCCTGCATTTGGGGCCACTGCTGGTCTCCGCGATCTGGGTAGCAGTGGAGACTGGGCCCAAACTCCCATTTCTCTATCTCTGTGTCTTGTGTCTTTTATTTCTACAATTTTTCGTCTCCGCAGCTCCCGGGAGCGGCTCACAGACCCTTTAAGGCTGGACCCTGCAGCCCCTGCTGCCTCTGTTGTCCCTGTACCGGCCGCCGCTTTGCGAAGTCTTCCCTGACCCACAACGGAACTCCCTCCCTCCGTCCTGGAGTTTGTGGCCACAGTCCCGGCTTCCTGACTTTCCAGGTTGGGAGTGGTGAGGGAGGTGCCATTCCCTCCTGCCTCCAGGCTGCCCTGGGCACAGAGCCTCCCTTAACGCCCAGCCTGGGCAGCCAGATCCCACAAGGGCAGCCCTGGCCACCCCGTTCCTGAAGCGGCTGGCCCTGGCCCTGACGCGGATTCCTGCGGTCAGCCTGCCGGGAGGTGGGCAGGAGACGCTTTCCCTCGCCCAGCTTTGGTTTCCCCACACGGAAGTGGGGATGGGTCGTCTGCAGCCTGGGCACTCCCACTCCTCTGCTGTCTGCCCGACTCCCATGCCCAGGTCCCTTCACACGCCCTGTCCTGGGCACTTGGGGACCTCCAGGCTCCTGTCGAGAGTGGAGTGGAAAAGGGCACAGATGGGGGCATGAGCGGCACTGGCCCGGGAGACGGAGGATTTTCCCTGTGCCCGTGCCCCAGCACCTGGCTCTCCGGTGGCCACCAGAGGAGGCTCTGACTCAGGCCTCACCCCAGGAGTATGTGCAGGCCCTCCAGCATGGCAGCACTCAGGGGAGAAGGGACCCCTTCACCCCGGGTCATGCTCCTGAGGCTGGGGTTCAAGAGCCTCCAGAGAGGCTGGCTTGGCACACCCCAGGCCCAGCCCCAGCCTCGGAGCCATGTGGGCACTGACTACCCACAGCCACCACCCAGGGCAAGCTCAGCTGCCTGGGCGGAACCCCATCCCTGGGAACCCAACAGCCCCTTTGGCCAGACCTCACCAGGGTGCAGTAGACTGGGCGGGGAGCATGACTCAGGGAGTGCGGGCCAGGCAGGGTCGCCCAGAGGCAGGGAGGGTTCCGAGCCCGCTGCAGGGGTTCTGGCTGTATTTCCGGTACAAGGCTGTGGCGTGGAGTGAGAGGACTCCCCCAGCAGACGCCCCAGCAAGGAGCCTTTCCCTCCTGGAGAGGGCCAGAGGCTCCCGAAGGCTGGCCCCGAGTCCCGGCAGGTTAAGTCTCAGGCCTCACTCAGGTCAGAGCAGAGCTCCGCCTTCCCCAGACCAGTTCTGTCGCAGGCCTGGCCTAGGAATCCATGGTGGCCGAGCCCCCTCTGGCCCTGGCTGGCCGACCATGGCATGGGTGGCGGCCGGTGAGGGGTCAGCGGTGCTCCCTGGCCCCGGGTCCAGGCACTCAGCTCTTTGTCCCTGGCACCCTGAGGCCAGCACCATCACCAACCCCAGTTCCAGCCAAGGGCAGGAGCACGAGGTGGGTCTGGGCCCCGGGAGCACAGGAGGGGAAATGGGAAACGCCCGCAGCCCTGTGGTGGCCGGGAGGAGGGCAGAGGCTTCGCGGGAGGCCAGGGCCACCACTGACAGCCACGGGCGGCAGATGGGGTGCTGGCGGCCTCAGGTGGGTGCCCAGTGGAGGAAGACGGGGGCCCCGGGGTGCTGAGTGCTTTGCCTGGGGTCTCTCAGTCAGGGCAAGAAGTGACCCACCTCGGCCACCCTGGGGAGGTGGGGACTGGGTGTGGAGAGAGGGGATCCCAAGTGGGGACAGTGAAGCTCACCCAGACCCAGGCCTGGGTCACAGTGCCCTGGCTGACCACTGGTCAGGCAGCCCTCCAGGGTGGGGTTGCACCGTGTCCCTGGGTCCCAGGGGAGGCAGGGTGGACACATGTTAAGAGCAGGCCTCCCCACGTCACTCTCCACCTCCGACAACCATCCAGCACCCTGCTCGCCCCCAGGCCCTCGGCTGGAACTGGGGGTGGTGATGGTGCCAGGGACAAAGAGCTGAGTGCCTGGACCTGGGGCCAGGGAGCACCGCTGACCCCTCACCAGCTGCCACCCACGCCATGGTCAGCCAGCCAGGGCCAGAGGGGGCTCGGACACCATGGATTCCTAGGCCAGGCCTGCGAGGGAACTAGTCTGGGAAGGTGGAGCTCTGCTCTGACCTGAGTGAGGCCTGAGACTTAACCTGCCGGGACTCGGGGCCAGCTTTCGGGAGCCTCTGGCCCTCTCCAGGAGGGAAAAGCCTCCTTGCTGGGGCGTCTGCTGGGGGAGTCCTCTCACTCCACGCCACAGCCTTGTACCGGAAATACAGCCAGAACCCCTGCAGCGGGCTCGGAACCCTCCCTGCCTCTGGGCGACCCCGCCTGGCCCACACTCCCTGAGTCATGCTCCCCGCCCAGTCTACTGCACCCTGGTGAGGTCTGGCCAAGGGGGGTGTTGGGTTCCCAGGGATGGGGGTCCATGGGACTTTTCCTGGGCTGTGGCTATGGGACATGGCTCCAAGGCTGGGGTTGGGCCTAGGGTGCACCAAGCCAGCCTCTCTGGAGGCTCTTGAACCCTGGTGACGGAGCATGGCCCAGGGCGAAGGGGTGAGGGGGCGCCTTCTCCCCTAGGTGCTGCGTGCGGGAGAGGCCTACAAAACTCTGCCCTGTGCTCCTATGCAGGCCTCACCCCAGAGTGCCCTCCACCTCTGGGGCTTGGCTCCACGACTGGCCCCAGGGCACATGTGCTGGAGGCTCAGACCTGTGTGGCCTGATGCCCGCCACCAACCCCCTCTGTCCCAGAATAGCACACACAAAGACACCGGTTTAAATCCTTTATGTCCATGCAGAGATTTGAGTAGAAAAATAAACAGCAAAAAAACAGTTTGAAATGTGGTGATCGGTAGGGGGGTGCGGGGAGGCTCCCGTCCTCCACCCTCCACGCGGCAGGGGCTGCATTCTCTGCGGGGTCTGTGGGGCCTGCCCTGAGTCATCAGCACTCCATGCCCACCTGGACCTGGCCCCAGATTTTCGGGGAAGTCCCCAGCCTGGGGCTCCTGGCACCCCCATTGCGGCTGGGGAAGGGAGAAAGGGAAGGAAAGGCAGGAGGGGCATTCCCTGGGGGGAGGTCACAGGCCTGGGGCGAAGAGGAGGGCCAGGAGGCCCAGGGCCAGCCCCAGGCCGAGGGCGGGGCGGGTGGGCGCCGCGCTGTGCAACCGTTCATTGCACAGGTCCTCCTGGCAGCACTGGGTGGAGCCGGCGCCGCTGCTGACCTGGCCTTGCTGGGTATGGGTGGACATGCACGAGTCCACGCACTTCTTGTTCACCAGATTCCCGCTCAGAGGCTCCACTGGGCACAGGTGAGCATGGTCAGGCCCGGCAGCCGCCTCTACCCCCCACCCTCTGCCCACCTCCCTGCTGGCACCCCCATCAGCCAGGGATGTCCCCCACCCCCGGGGCGCCTGGACAGAGGCTGCTCACCCGTGATCATGGTCATGCAGTATCGAGCGCTGGCTGGGCACTCCTTGGGCTCCTTGCAGTTGCTGGAGCTTCTGCACACATGGCAGCGGAGGGCAAGGGCTGTCGGGGGCGGGGCGGGGGACGGCCGAGCACGGGACTCAGTGAGGCCTGCTCCACCACCCGCGGAGACCCCTCCAGGACAGAGGCCTCCACTCTCCACGCTGCCCTTGCCCTGGGCCCCCAACCCCCGGCCCTGGGCCCTGTCGGGGCGAGTGCCCTGAATGCAGCCTCAGGGGACCTGTGCTCAGGCTGGGCTGGCTGGGAAGAAGTGTCCTGACCTGGCCCTGTCTAAGGTGTGCTGCCGGCCTTTCCTGCACGGCCTCAGGCAGCTCTGATGGTGCTGAGGGCAGCCTGCAGGACCCTGGTTGCTGTCCCCCACCCCGGGGGCTGTCCTCAGGGTAGACGGCCGTGTTTCTGAGGGCCTGACTAAGCCAGGGCCTGCCAGCTTGGCTGCTCTGAGCCTATGAGAAGAAGGGCTCGGTGGCCTTTGGGCTCTTAGGCTGTGCTGGGGGAGACCTGGCGACTGGGTGGGGCTGGCGGCCGCCCTCCCAATGAGAAGCATCTCTAGACACCCCCTGCTCCGCTGACTCAGGGTCCGTGACTCCAGGAGTCAATTCTAAGATCCTCAGATTCTGAAACATTGTACACGGGGGACTCCGTTAGGTTAAGATGATGGCTCCCTGCTGTTTCAAAGGTGAAGAGTTTGGCACACACAGTGCGGGATTCTCTGTGCCTAGAGGTCGTCAGCTCCAGTCTCCTAGTATTTGGAGGCCAGAGCTGCCCACCCCCCGTCCCCTTGGCTCAGCCCCTCACCTGGCCCCGCAGCCATGGCCAGGGCGGCGACGAGCAGCAGGATTGTCCTCATTGCTGGCACTGTCGGGGAGCAGTGTGGGTCCCTGCACGGCTGGGGCCTTATAGGCATGGGCTGGGCGGGGCTGAGCAGCCTGCCAGCCGGCGGGATCCACAGGGCCCTGTGCAAGCATCGGCCCAGGACTGGCACCCGCCCCACCCTGTCTGGCCCACGCCCACCAGCCTGGCTGTCTCCAGGCGCTGCGCCTGCTGCCTCCCCAGGCAGGGGTCTGCCCCCACAGCGGGCCCAGTGGTTCGTTCCTTCCTGGCTTTGCTGTTCCTGCTTGGCCCAGCCTCCTCTGCCGCTCGCCTGTGCTGGGCAGCACCTAGCTGTGGTGTGGAGGGACCCACAGAGACTTGCCTTGCCCCTGCCCTGGCCAGGCTGATGGCGAGTGGGAGCGAGAGAAGGAGGTCAGCCCTGGGCCCAGCCTCCCACCGCTGCTGCCACATGGCTGATGAACAGGCACCAAAAGGGCCGGGCCAGGGCAGGGCCTGCTGCAGGGAGGGTGGTCCCGGGCTGGGCTGAGACTCAGGCTCTGAGGAGCACCGTGGTTCCTGGTGCCAATCAGGCCTGGGCTGGAGACCGACCATCTGCCCCTTCCTCCCCCATCTCTCCCTTGCTGAACCCCACATCACAATGCTGCAGATCCCAGCAAATGTCTCCTGAGAATGCTCCTGGCAGGGCTCTCCCTGACAGTCCCAGGACCTGGAGGACCTGCCCACAGGAGGGGCTGTCTGGTGGTGCCTTTGGAAACCTGGAGGGGTGCAGGCAGGAGCCCCTGGGGCAGCCCCACATTTGCATCTGGTGCCAGGCTGCTGGCTGGTGCCAGGCTTCCTCGAGTGAAGTTTCACTCTCCAAGGCAGGTGACCCAGAGGTCTATGCCCCTGCCCAGAGAGAAGACGTCTCCTCCAGCTCCAAGTCCCTGCGTCCATGGGGTGCAGTGAGAGGCATGGGTGGCTTTAGGGAAGGTGCTTCCAGGGGCTTGGGAAGCAGAGCTCAGGGCTTGGTGACAGGGTGGTGACTTGGTGGGCATGGCAGGTGGGGAGGGTGACTCACTGTGGCCAGGGGCATGAGAGCTGCTGGAAGAACAGGTTTGGGATTCCTGTTGGGCCTGGTGGCGCTGGAGTGTCCAGAATGTCAGGTGGCCTGAGAGTGGGGTCTAAGTGTGGGGTGGGGGGAGTGGGCTCCCCACGCCTGGGGTTGGAGGAGGAGGGCCCTGCACATCTAGCTCATCCCCGTGGGATGCCTCAGGCGTCACTGTGGCTGCGTCCCTGCCAGGCATGGAAGCCACAGCAGGTTTCAGTTCTGGGGGAGGAAGGCCTCTGCCCTGGTGGGGCTATTCACGAGGATGAGCTGCCCATGCCAGGTGGTCCTAGCAAAAGCATGAGCAGTGGCCCCCTGCACGGTTCACCCTCAGGAGGCGTGAACGGCGGCCCCCCGCACGGTTCACCCTCAGGAGGCATGAACAGTGGCTCCCCGCACGGTTCACCCTCAGGAAGCGTGAACAGCAGCCCCACGCATGGTTCACCCTCAGGAGGTATGAACAGCAGCCCCATGCACCATTTACTTTCAGGAGAAAGTGTGTGATTCTGATGCCAGGAGCCCTTGGACAGCGGGGAGCTTATGGGCACAGTGCAGTCAGGGAGGGCTTCTTGTAGGCAGTGACCTGACTAGAGCCTCAGAGCTAGGGGTTGGAATGGGGAGAAGAGCCATTGTGGTCCCTCATGCCAGTCCTCGCCCGGTGCCTGTTTGCTGGTGAGGAAATGAAGGTCAGAGAGTGCCAGGCAGGTACGGGCATGCCCCTGAGTGGGGCAGAACCTGGTGGGGTCTCAGGCACTTCTCACCCTCACCGCCGGCCCTTCCCCTCCCCCCTCTTCTGTCCTCTAGCACCTGGGCCCTCTCCCCACTCCGCCCCTCCCATTCACCCCTTGGAGCTGGGGCCCCGGGCCTGGTGGCTGGTACCATCAGGCTGTTGGCAGCAGGAACGACACCTGAGATTGGCGATGAAGGAACCTGGGGCAGGGAAAACCACTGCTCCACCCCCTCATCCCTGCAGGCTGCACCCTGAACCCAGAAGCCCAGCACGGGAGCAAGCCCAGCGTGGGGACAAGCCCAGGCCTCTCTCTGGAGCAGAAGTTCCTTGCCTGTGACCCTTCCCCCAGCTTCTGCCCCCTCTACCTCGTGCTGGGCTCCTAGGATCACGCAAGGGTATGGCGGCCCAGAGAGGGAAGCGCCTGGCTCAGGGCCACATAGCCCGCTACTCCAGCCTTCCAGGACAGCAGTCCCTGGCCCTGTCCTGAGTGGGTACCCCGTAGACAAGGCAGGGCCCTGGGCTGGAGGAGCTGGGAAGCACCAGGGCACAGGGAGGGGCTTCTTCAGCCTCAGGCTGTCACCTGGGCAAGCAGGAGTCCCAGCCACACCCCAGGGGCTCCAAAATGCATCCCTCTGCCTTGAGGCACTTCATTCATTCATTCATTCATTCATCCATTCAGCAACATTTTATAAGGACCAGCCATATGCAAGACACGTTGGGTGTAATGGAGACCAGGAGAGTAGAGGGACAGGGCCAGTTCGAAGGCCCCTCGACCAGTGGGGAGTGGGAACCGACCCTTGCTGGCTCTGTGGGACCCACAGCAGGGTGTGATGAGGTGGAGGCTGAGGGTCTGGGGCTGAGAGGCCAAGGGAGGACTGACCTGGGAGCAGCTGTCTGAGCAGGGACCTGAAGGGTGTGTGGCCATCCCCTGGTGAGCAGGTGGCTGTTGGGAAGGGCTTGGGGACCCAGGTGCCAGGCCCCTTCTCTTCCTCTTTCCCCCGGATGGGGGCAGGTGGCTGCCTGGAGCAGAGCGGCTGAGTGGTGTGGTGTCTTTCTAGAGGCTTCCCTGCTCCTCGCAGCCCCTCACTTGCACAGATGGAGCCTCGGACAGCAAGGGCCCAGCCTTGCCCAGCAACACCCTGTGAGCGGGAGCCACAGCTGGGCTGTGCTTCTGGGCCTGGGCCCTTCCCCCTCACTCCGAGGCCTCCCCAGCCCTCCCCCAGTGCCAGAGTCACCTTTACACAGTCCCAGGCACGGCCCCTTCCACCTGCTTCCCAGGCCACACCTGGCTCTGCCCCAGTCTTAGGTCAGCCCCTGGGACCCTGGCTACCAGCCATCCCTCCGGGGTACAGCTAGTGTCCATGGACCAGGCCACAGGCCAGGGCTGGAGTCCAGCTCTGCCCCTCCACACAGGCCCCTCATCCTTGCTGGGCCTGTCTTTCCTGCACCGCCAGGGTGGCAATCCAGGGAGCAGTTTTGTGCCTGGAGAAACCCTTCCCTGCCTTGGGGCACAGCCTGTTCCTAGCAAGTGTTGGACTGGGGCCTTGGTTCCTAAGGCCCAGAGAAACAAGCTTGTTCTCAGGTGTGGCTGGTGGTGCCCACAGCTGGTGGTGCCCACAGGCAGGGCTGGTGCCTTCCCTGGGAGAGATGACATGTCAGCACCTAGGACCAGCAGGGCCCCTGCAAGGCACTGGCATTCACGGGGCTAGGCAAGGGTGCCCAGTGCTGAAGTCTGGGTGATGACAAAGAATCCCTCAGGGTGTGAACTGTGTCAAGCCTGAGGTGGGGGAGAGAGCTTGCAGAGGGCCGTAGCCATGGAGCCACAGAGCTACGGAGCCACAGAGCCACAGAGCCACAGCGCAAACAGCCGCGGGGACCTCAGAGCCCCAAGACTGCATGCCCTTAGCGGGGGCTCGCAGAACACAGAACCCTAGAATTGCAAGACCCAAGGAACCTGAGTGAGAATCAGGTGTCCTGGACGGGGGTTATTTTCACACAGTAGGACATGCTTCCACCAGGGCTCTAGGGAAGCACAGAGGGTTTGTGTTAATGCTCAACTCCTGGGTTCTCCCCTCTGCTGGACCACAGCTCACTCACCTTCCTGTTGTGGCCTGGAGCTTGTGGCTGCCAACCCTTAGCTCCATGAGGTAGGTTCAAGGCTGGTGAACACAGGGCCCACCTCACTTTCCTTCCTCACTCCCCTGCCTTCATTCGCTCCCAATACCTACCCGTTCATCCATCCTCTATCATCCACCCATCCTCCATCCATCTGTCCACTCATTGTCCACTCTTTTGTCTATTCTCCATCCTCTCTTCATCCCTTATCCATCAATCAATCTACCATCTGCCCACCCATCCATTCATTCACTTATCCATTCTTCATCCATCCATCCTCCATCCACTCATCATCCATCCTCCATCCACCCAGTCATCCATCCATCAATCTACCATTTGTCCACCCATCCATCCACTCATCTATCCATCCATCATCCATCCATCCACTCATCCATCCACCTCCCATCCATCCATCCTCCATCCACCCAGTCATCCATCCATCAATCTACCATTTGTCCACCCATCCATCTACCTCCCGCCCATCCATCCTCCATCCACCCATCCT